CAAGTGGAGGACACACTTGTGCACATGATGTGCTTGTTGTTGTTGATGTTTGTTTGGTCTCACTGTATAATATCCACTGCTGAATACCATCTCATCTGAGAGTTCTGGGTCGGTCGTAAAGCTCACTGTACTGCAGTGGAGCACCTCTTACCCTGTCTGTTTGTCCTGCAGGGTCACAAATGAATCTGAGGGAATCAGGAGATTTGCGGTCACAAGGTCGGTACACGTGTTCCAGCTGCATTAAAAGCACTGAGAAAATAGATGATAAATAACTTTGGTTTAAAGGCTGGGCAGTGGCAGTTGCAGTGCCTGAACATTTTCTGGTTTTCCTGCCTCTCCCCAGTTGCCATCTACCTGGGTATCAAAAAGCGTCCGAGCCCCGGGCCATCGGACGTGGCTGGGATCTGAGAGGCGGTGGATGGCGGGACCCTGCGGAGGTGGTACTGGCTCTGCGGGAGGCGGCGCTCGGATGTGGCTGCCAGGTCCACTATGCTGGCCCCTTTCTGCTCTCCTGCACCCATGGAGTGGCAGGGGGCCGCGTGGCTTTTGAGGCCGAGGTGTGCCATCTTTCCATGGGCAACTCCGAGACTTCTAACGGGGTGCGCTACATGCGACTCTGGGGGACGCCATTAGCTTTTCGGGACATTGCCACCCAAATCTCTAAGGAGCTTGAACTTTGAACAGAGGGTGTGTTTGCATGAGTGTGTGTTTTTGTGTGAGTGAGTGTTGATGTATGTGTGCAAACAGAGAGGTGGGGTGGTGGGGTGTACAAATAATTGAAGAAGAAATAGCAGAGAAGGGGCAAGGGGCTGGACCCGAGAACCAGACACCTCCTTCTGTCTCTTTCATGACTACACCCCCTGCACACACATCCACGCGCACACACCCACATAGATACACACACTCCTGACCTGTAAAGTCGCATAGACAGAGGCACCCCCCACCTCCACCCAGTCACCCCACACAGCTCAGTCAACTTCTTCACTGAGCTACTGCACCCACTGGACCTGGATCAGACAGAATCTAGTTGAGTATTTTTTATTACTATTCTAGCCATAATGACTCTTTATTTTATTACTTATTAATCTGATCTTTGTTTTTACCCAGTGCCACTTTTACCGCTACAGAGAAGCAGCATCTCCTGTGTATTAGACATCCTTGAAAGGCCACTTCTTTTTTTTAAATTGTCCGTTTTTTATGTCACCTTTACATTGGTTTTTTTCTTCTTCTCCTCACTGATGATTATCTGCTGACTTTACATCACCTGGGGACAACAACACACACAAATGTGGAGATGGTCACTCTGTGATGATACAGGCAGCCGCAGAGGGTTGCATTGCTTTCAGTCATGTACATACACCAGTGACGACTGCAGTGGATTAAGGTCAGTGAGAGCTGGGTTGACAGACCTTTGAAAGAGCCAGTCAGAGGCTGATGTGCAACACAAAATGCCAATCTTTCGCACTAATGAACCAGTGACATCTTGACAGTAGTAGTAGTGTTGTTGCCTCCGAGTCACATTAACTTCTCTGCATGAGACAAGCAGAAATTAAAAATACTCAGAATTTATTGGGATACTAATCATTTGGTTGCCTAAAATTTCTATCCATCCAAAAGTGCGAGAACATTATGGTGCTGTCATGCTCCATTTTAGACTCTTGTTGCATCAGATTCAAAATTAAATCAGTATAGCTCATTTGCTAACACTATTACAAGGTTATACAAATTTTCATACCATACTTTTCATTCAATAGGTTGTCTACACTGGCTCCCTAAAAAAAAAATTCAATATATGGAGATACCTGCATAGACTATGTGCACACATACTGCTCTCACTGGTTGGATTCAGTGCCTGTCACCACTGATCGGTGACAGCAAAACTTGTTCAGAGCATTTGGATGTTTTAGCCTCCCACCTTGTTTCACCCCTTTAACATTCTTTAAAAGCATTGTACTGAAGACACAGCAGCAGTGACCCATACTTAAAAAAAATCCAACTCTAAACCCTCAAGGTGATTAAAACAAAGGAGAGCTACAAATGCTGCACTTGAAAGCAGCCATGCATCCCACTACCAAATTACAGACATGGTACAGAGCCTGGTGTGTTTTCAGTGCAGTCTTGGATTCTGTTCAGTGCCATGCGATCTCGCCTCAGTCATCGTCTCAGTATGTCGATGGGGAACCAAAAATGGATCAGCCAAGCAGCGATTACACTCTCACTCACAGACAAACACACACTTCCGAGTGTCCACCCTCTTCTTCTTATTGTGGCACAGTATATAAACATGGTGTGCCCATTATTGATGACTGGGACTGTGGGAATTAAGGGGAGCATCCCGAATACGGAAAAGGCACAGTGAAGGCAGTGTGGACGGTATTTTCTTGTTTGTCCGGTTGCCTTTAAAGTGAACAACCCCCAGCGCCTTCATACAGTACATATTTAATGTAAAAAACAGATGCAGAAAAAACTGAGAAAGCTTTCTATTCTCCCACCCTGTTTTTAGTGAATAATGTACTGTGATGTTTACGTAGAATACACAGATCATGTTGTTTGGCTGCTGGTTTATTGTTGATACTCTCAGTTGTGGCTTTGCTCATGGTGGCCCAAAACACCACCCTACCCCACCCCCATTTCCTTTCCCAGCCCTCATAACGTCCCCAACTCTCTACATTTAACAGTCAAGTCAACCTTAGCTGTCCACATACGTATATGCCATCAACTTTTCTCTGCCCTTTGTTTGAGATCCTGTTTTCGCACAGAGAAACGCTCCACCATCCTCCACACTCTCATACTGTAGAGCCATGTATGGCATATTCTCAGTCCTGTTTGGTGTGTGCTGTTTCATGGAGCCTGAGAGGAGAGGGTGGTTTTAACCTGTTCTCCTCCTCAGGGTGAGAGGCAGAAACCAACATGGACACCAGGAGTCTGTCCTTGTCCTCTCCGTGGGCGTTTGTCATTGTGGTGTATATTAGCATTAGGTAATATAGACCTCAATGCACTTTGCTTTGACTTGAATCAGCTCCTTCCAGTGTACCTGTATAGGTGATAACGAGAACTAGCCAATGTCTTAAATGTGAAACACTTCAAGTTGTGAATATTTGCACAGGTACTTTATTTATTTTTTAGAATAATATCACTTAAAAAACAGGATTTATATCAGTCAGGTGATGGCTGTATATAAAATATATGAATATAGTATATATCTTAGAGCTCAAGGTTTATTTATAGCTAGAGCAAGGGAAGTAATTCTAGTTAGAAGCAGTTTCTGTCCGTGACAACAGGGAACAAAACCAACTTGCAATCATGCATGACTTCAGAGTTTGGGTTTAGGATTAAAAAACTGAGGCATGATGCACATCTGCGATTGTAAGCTTTGAGAAATGCAGACACAGTTTTTAGACATGAATTGATTAAAAGAAAATGGTCCTAGATGTAGTGCCAGGTCCTTCCCCCCCGTTCACCAAAACAGACAGGACAGTTTGGTGAATTACAGTGACCTCACCTTGTTTGCTATAGAGGATAGATTCAGTGCATTTGAGAGGGCTTCTGAGTTCTTAGAGGTATAAAGAGATGTCATGAAATGTACTGCGTCGTAAACTGTGTTCGAAAAATTCCACTGTAGTCACAGTAAGAACATAAACTGTGCAATTTTTATTGCCAGTTCTATTTGAACTTGAATTTACACTGATTCTAGTAACTACTGAACACACTTAAAGCCGGAGGTTGCATTCAAGCCATAGAAACATTTTGTCGATTTCTCCTGATCGCAAATACAAGTCAGGTAGTGTGCAAAGCATTTCAGTGGAAATGACTGAAGTGAAACAGGCTAAAAAGCAAATAACTTGGAGTACAACAAACCATTCTTGGTATAAGATGGATGAACATTGTCTTAAGGTTGAACATACTGTGAAAAATTCTTGAAAAGAGTTTGCTGCCCTGAGTGTTAAGTAACTGCTTGTATACCTGCTCAGAGACAGTGTGTCCCTGCTCCGATTCAGATGGTGGATGTTATAGTATTACGACCCCAGGGGGCTCAGTATTTCAAATGCACTGTCATTTTAAAACTGATGTTGGAAGCAGCGGATGTTATATGCAAAATAGATGCAGTTTGACCTGTCTGAGTAATTTTACACTGCTATATTGTATAATTCCTCCCTTCAGAAACAAACTGTAAACTGAGATGGAGTGATTTTGGTATAGAAGGAGAAATGCAGCTGGAGATGAATAAAATTCACTGATGTTAGCATTTTGTCCTTCATTTTGGAGTCTTGATTTTATAGTTACAGCTGCAGTGTAGTAGGTTCTGGTCACCTGACAAGCTCATCAAACAATTATACTTAAGAGCTGAGTTGTATTTGGTCTTGATGTTTCTTTTTCCTATTTCTAATATCACAACAAAAAAAGTTGATTTAGTTGTTTCATGGGGCACTTTTTATTTGACAGTATGAACAGCTTCAATAATCATTACTTTTTATAACAAAAAGTAGGTGATGCCACGTCTGCTAGGCGGGCCCAGCTCAGTGGAGGCTGATCCCAAGATGTTACCAACTCACACAGGAGAACATGAAAAAAGGATGGACAGTGAAAAGAACAAGTTGTGGAAGGAGGAGAGGTGAGCAGAGTCAGGAGTCTCTAGGTGAGTAGCTGTTTCCTCTGCATGCCTGCCAGCTGGCTCGATTGCACATGAATAGTCACAAGAAAGGCATAAGATTGTCCCTCTTTACTTCTGGGCGGGAATCATGCTGTCGATGGGCTCCCCCTTCTCCAGTTTCTTCTCCATCTCAACCATCAGCTTGACACCGTCAACCACCAGCTGGACCTGCTCCACCTCGGAGGAGCCCAGACGGTCAGCGTTGGAGATGTCAAACACACCACCCACAGAGGCTGTGTCCACACCACCTAAAGAGGACAGGCGATCAGGTACAGATGAAACTGTATAGCTCAGAATGCTGCAGAGATCCTCATGGAACAGCAGGTTGATCCAGAAGTGTACAAGCTAGGGAGTGTGTATGTGTATACCTGTGCCACGCTTCTGGAGACGCAGTCTGTTGAGGATCTCCTCAAATTTGGGGTGTGTGCTCAGCTTGGGCAGCTTGACGTGGACACCACCACGCAGGCCAGTACCCAGGTTGGAGGGACAGGTCAGGATGAAGCCCAGGTGCTCGCTCCACATGAAGCCGTGGTTGTGCTTCTTGAAGATCTCCTCAATCTGGCAGGCAAGAAGGAAAGAGTCAAATGAACATCCAGCAGCAATCCACACTTTCACTGAGTCGGATCATGACTTGTTTTGACGTATCAGTGTGTACCTTCTGCAGGCCTACACAGAAACGCCTGAAGACCTCCCTCATGTTGCCACCCTTCTGCATGGAGATGACGCGCAGATGATCCTCCTCGTTCACCCAGACCAGGAAGGTCTTGTCGTTATTGTGCCTGGATGGAGAGGGATACAAAAGATAATACAGAAACATCATGAAAGTGCAAATCTGTATTGAGAGTTTTGAAAATTGTTTTCATATCTTGTCTGCTGACAGTTTCCGGTTGTACTCACCAGATGCCTCTGGCATCAGGCCAGTCGCGTGCCATACCAGCACAGGTGAGCAAGGGAGAGACAGGTTTGTCAAACAGGAAATGATCAGCGATCAGCTGCTCCTGCTCGGCATCAGTCATGGACTTCAGGGGGTAGTACTTTCCCTTGAACTCACCGTCCAGGGTGGTCAGAGCTGCAGGGACAGACACACTGTTTGGAGACCGCATGACCTTCTGCAGTTCAACAGGAACTATTAACCAGTGGGACCATTTATAATAATTTAGCATAAACTCCACTAGCACAATGTGTTTCCTTGTTGAGTTTATCAGTTTATACAGTAATCTACATCTTGTCCTTTAAACTACTCTGTCTTGTTAACAGCCTATTGTTTGGGCCTAATGTGGATTACTGCCCAACATTTTGCCTACTTACATTCCGAAACTATTAATAGCTTACCCTCAATGGACAGCTTCTCAATAGCTCTGCGCTCGCCGCGGCTGTTGTGGGGGGGCAGGGTGAATCCCTTGATGCTGCGGCCGGTTCTAACACGGCTTGACAAAACATAGTTGGGGTCCAAGTCATCACCACCCTATCAAGAAAATGAGAAAGTTTGATTAGTTAGAAAAAATATCCCACAAATATGTATCATATATGCATCATCCTTTGATTAGTTACATTTATTCTCCTGCAAATCAGTGTAATTAGCTGGTGTACTGGCTGCAGTAAGTCTTACAAGTTTTTGCCAGTGCCTTCTACCTCTCTAAGGACCTTTACTTCATGAGCCATTGTTCCTCTTTTTTGCTGAAAACTAGAGCACTGTACCTTCAGGTTCTCGAAGTTCAAGTCGGTCTTGTGCTTGTCAGTGGGCTTGTATCCACCATGACGGTCAGAGATGACGGGGTCAAACAGATCCTTGAAGACCACATAGGACTCCTCATCACCAGCAACTAAGCCAACCGTCATGATGAAGGGGTGACCTGAAGACAGCCAGCAAATAGGAAAGCAGTAATTAGAAGGATGGCAGGGAAGATTATACCTTCTGTACAGCATGAGATGAGCTGCAAATAAGATTTTATTTTGGAGATTTTATTCAGAGATTAAATGTTCTTTGTAAAAGTTGTGTATAATTTTGTAGACCTATGTGTCTCCATGATTTTATGACTCAATAAAAGATAATGTATGCTAAAACTGAGGTGTTTATCTGGGCCTCACCGGGGTTGTCGACACCTGTCTGGATGGCATCATCCAAGGTGTAGCCACTGGGTGTCTGCTTGTCCCTCAACTTGGCATAGATTTCTTTGGTCAGGGCCTTGGCCATATGGTTGTTGTGCTGGGACAAGTTAGGGAACTCTTCCTCAACTTTGTAGTTGAGCTTGAAGTTGTTGTGAGTGTTTCCGAATGGCATGATTGCTTTCTAACACTGCAAAGAGAGGAAAAAAACAGGCTGAGTAAACTTAAGCTGACGCTTCAATGATCAAAAATCATTTCAACCTGATCTGACACTGTCTTGAAGATATTTGGAGTTGCATTAAAATGTCACCCAATTCTCTGCCGGTCAAATGTCCACTTGAAATAGAGCAGGGGGAAGAGCGCCTGTTGGCTGTGTATTTTTAGCATCAGCACATCTGACTGTATCCCCCCCTTTTTAAAGTGTCCTCAGCATATACAAATAGCTTTTCAATTCTCTTGGTACTCAGAACCGCAGTTCCTTTGAATACACCTTCACTGTATTACTGCTTACCCTACAGGATCAAACTCTTAAAGTTGTCATTAAGCTGAACCTCAGACAAATCTGACAAGCTATAACTGCTTCTCTTCAGTCCATTTAGCATGATCTCACAAGATTTCTTTACATCAAATCATCTAGCAATTTGTTTCACCTTGCCATGATTAGCTGATCACATGACTAATTATAAATAAAGTATACAATGACACACTTATGTCAAATGAAATGCAATCTGTATCTGTAGTCAACTATAGTTTACCATTTTGGTAAAAAGTCATAACATTTATAGCACTTTTGATGCACTTTGCTATGAACAATTTTTATCTTAAAGGTAAAAAAAAATCCATCAAGTGTGACTTAAACAGCTTAGGGTGTTCAGGCCGTCTCTCTTACAGTACATGTCTCACACTGTGATGCACCTGTCCACATAAATAACTGTCAAAACGAGATAACCATTTGCAGAGAACAAGTACGTTAATACAGGTTAACCATGCAACAGCAATGCAGTTACTGCATTTTCATCATCATATACATTCAAATATCCCCTTGATTCGAGTAGAAAAACAACCAAAAAGAGTTATTTTTGCCATGCTGTATGTTTTTGGATGGTTCCCCAAATCTGTATGTCCCCTTCCTTTAACGCCTGAAAACTAATCATCTCTGATAAATTTTTTTTTTACCTGAACACCAGACAAGAATAGAGGTAACAGTCCTTGGGATCTGATCCTGTTCACCACAGCCAAAATAGGGGTCACCCAGCTCTGGGGGTGTCTGTTCTCTGTTTATATACCAGGCAGATACTCAGCCATTGGCTTGGCCATTTTAGTGCTTGATGCACCCTCATTGGCTAGAGCCTCCGTACTGAACAGTTTATGAAAGAGATGCATTTACGTCTCAGCCATCCAGGCTGGGTACTACAGCTGTGTCCTCACCACCCCCCACCCAGTCGTGGCCCATACATAGCACCAGTTGTATGGAGGGAGTATCTGAGAGGGGAGTAAGGGCTCACCAGGGTGGGTGAGGGGTCTGCTGGGAGGACTAGAAGCAATTTTAAAAAAGCTGAGCTTCACTATTGCCGAGCATATCATGGAGACCAGCCATATTTTGGTCAGGTTATTCTTTACACTCATCAAAGCAGCATTGTGTCCATCAGATAGTAGTGGTACAGTTTTCTGTGACCACTATCTGGATCAGGGGAATGCTGAGTATCCTGATCCTAAATGGTTACCATTTGACAGATACGTCAATAATTATGAGTAGTGCCCCTGAAACTGGACTGCTCAGTTTTGCACCATGGACAGTATGGACTCACTATATTCAGCAACGAAGCTTGTCAGGGTAAATTCTCTCTAGGGATCAATCCAAGCTTTACAGTGCCTTGCGAAAGTATTCGGCCCCCTTGAACTTTGCGACCTTTTGCCACATTTCAGGCTTCAAACATAAAGATATAAAACTGTAATTTTTTGTGAAGAATCAACAACAAGTGGGACACAATCATGAAGTGGAACGAAATTTATTGGATATGTCAAACTTTTTTAACAAATAAAAAAACTGAAAAATTGGGCGTGCAAAATTATTCAACCCCCTTAAGTTAATACGTTGTAGCGCCACCTTTTGCTGCGATTACAGCTGTAAGTCACTTGGGGTATGTCTCTATCAGTTTTGCACATCGAGAGACTGAAATTTTTGCCCATGCCTCCTTGCAAAACAGCTCGAGCTCAGTGAGGTTGGATGGAGAGCGTTTGTGAACAGCAGTTTTCCACAGATTCTCGATTGGATTCAGGTCTGGACTTTGACTTGGCCATTCTAACACCTGGATATGTTTATTTGTGAACCATTCCATTGTAGATTTTGCTTTATGTTTTGGATCATTGTCTTGTTGGAAGACAAATCTCCGTCCCAGTCTCAGGTCTTTTGCAGACTCCATCAGGTTTCCTTCCAGAATGGTCCTGTATTTGGCTCCATCCATCTTCCCATCAAGTTTAACCATCTTCCCTGTCCCTGCTGAAGAAAAGCAGGCCCAAACAATGATGCTGCCACCACCATGTTTGACAGAGGGGATGGTGTGTTCAGGGTGATGAGCTGTGTTGCTTTTACGCCAAACATAACGTTTTGCATTGTTGCCAAAAAGTTCGATTTTGGTTTCATCTGACCAGAGCACCTTCTTCCACATGTTTGGTGTGTCTCCCAGGTGGCTTGTGGCAAACTTTAAACGACACTTTTTATGGATATCTTTAAGAAATGGCTTTCTTCTTGCCACTCTTCCATAAAGGCCAGATTTGTGCAGTATACGACTGATTGTTGTCCTATGGACAGAGTCTCCCACCTCAGCTGTAGATCTCTGCAGTTCATCCAGAGTGATCATGGGCCTCTTGGCTGCATCTCTGATCAGTCTTCTCCTTGTATGAGCTGAAAGTTTAGAGGGACGGCCAGGTCTTGGTAGATTTGCAGTGGTCTGATACTCCTTCCATTTCAATATTATCACTTGCACAGTGCTCCTTGGGATGTTTAAAGCTTGGGAAATCTTTTTGTATCCAAATCCGGCTTTAAACTTCTCCACAACAGTATCTCGGACCTGCCTGGTGTGTTCCTTGTTCTTCATGATGCTCTCTGCGCTTTAAACAGACCTCTGAGACTATCACAGTGCAGGTGCATTTATACGGAGACTTGATTACACACAGGTGGATTCTATTTATCATCATTCACCTTTCATAGCGGTGCATGCAAGGCAAATTGCTTTACAGATGAAAAACAATAAGATGTGAGCGTTTAAAAAAAATTAAAACAATAAGATTATCGCACACATTTAACACTGATGACAATATCCCCCACTTTTGTAGTCTAAACATCTCAACAGTTACTAAAAGGTATGTCATGGAATTCTGTACAGACATTGATGGCTCCCAGAGAATTAAGCCAAATCACTTTTGGTGATCAACTGACTGTCTTTTGACACCATTCATTTGAAACAACTCAACAAATATTTGGTGAATTGCCATAAAATTTGATTCACACATACATGCACTCCTTAGGATAATTTAGGATATTTAGTCACATTTGTGAGCAGACAGTACAAAAGCATGGCTCCCACATGGAAATCAGTGTGTTGCCACATCATCCTTTCATTTATGCATCACATATGCAAAAATGTAAAGAACTCCCACACACTGTCTCGCTTAGGCTGAATAATTTATTGGAGCTGGGGGCTGTAACTTTTATAAAAATTCCTTTTTGTCCTATTTGCTGAAACTGTCTTTATATCCTGGTAGTAGTACATAAGATAGGTATTGTGTGAAAACAGATTCTTCTGGCTCCTCTTAGTGCCTCTAAATTCATTTGAAAAAATCCACCATGCTTGAACATGAACTACCAACCACTGCCAGAAGGCAGTGTCACCCACTGTCAATCATCTCATGCACATGTAGTACAGTAGAAGTTGATTACATGGTTGGTATTATTCTTGTTCTGAACATCTTTCATAATATCAGAAATTTAAAGAAAAAAGTTGCGAGTCTTCTGAATCAAAACAACAACTAGTGGGCTGGATAAGAAACAGACAGCAGTTCTAAACAAACTCAAAATGTAAGAAATGAGTTTAAAATCTTTGATTATCAGTCCATGGACTGAATGTTTATCATCTACATGGTCAAAAGACGTTTCCATAACATTCAGTGACTGCTAGGAGCAGCTGTGGGGCAAGTTATTCCAATCGCTAACCTTCTGTCTCTACACGCTGGCCATATTAAGAAATTCAGATAAAAGTGTAACTTGTCTTGCACTGCAAATCTAAAAAAAAAGGCAAATTGCCTGACTTTCCCATCTGTATATAGGCTATCAAAGTAACCTGCTAACCTTAGCTGTTAGCCAACTAAGTAAACACGCAATAATAAAGCTTTTGTTACCATATGTTCAGAAATGCTACAATATAGCAATTTAATCATTTATTTCAAAACTCTTAGGTAATGAAATGAGGACAAGGTATTTGATGAAATACAGTGAGTGTACAGTCATTGGAAAACATTTTTATCCAGGTACAGTATGTGGAGTAAAATTTACATTTCCTTCAGCGCATAGCTCTGTTGCCTTGGTTACTAGCCTCCGCTTGCAAGAGATCCCTCTCTGCAGGGAGGGGCTGCAGGAGGCAGGGCAGAAACCCAGCAGAGCGGCAGAGGGAGGGACCTGGACATTCTATTCTTTCAAATTCTTTACCCAAATTCATTCAATTCTCAAAGTAACAGACAAGCTTTAAGGTCACAATATTTTGGTCTATATGACCTTCATCATGTATGAAGCAAAACATGAACTTCTTTCACTTACATCATCTGTTACACCGAATCATCCAATCAGAGAAAGGCAGGGTTCATATCACCTTTGTTAACCACACCGATATTAAATATCAAAACTAAAATTGTAATTCCATAAAAATGTCAAATAAGTAGTTAGCAAGAAAAAAAATGTTTGTGTACCAATCAGCCATAACATATGGCCACCTCCCTAATATGTGTAGGTCCCACTTTTGACACCAAAACACCTCTGACCCATCCAGGCGTGGACTCCACAGACCTCTGAAGGTTTCTGGCACTAAGACATCGGCAGCAGATCCTTTAATTCCTGCAAGTTGTGAGTTTGGGCCCCCACGGATCGGACCTGTTTGTTCAGCACATCCCACGGATGCTCAATTGGAGGGATTTGGAAGCCAACTCATTTTTGTAGTGTGGTTATCCTGCTAAAAGAGGCAACTGCCATTAGGGAATGTCATTGCCATGAAGGACTGTACTTGGTCTACAGTAATGTTTAGGTAGGTGGTACATGTCAAAGCAATATCCACATGAATGGCAGGACCCAAGGTTTCCCAGCAGAATGTTGCTCAAAGCATCACACTGCCTTTGTGGGCTTGGTTTCTTCCCATAGTGCATATTGGTGACATCACTTCCCCATGCAATTGACACACACTCATCTGGGAATCCACATGATATAAAAGAAAATGTGTATTGTCAAACCAGGCAACCTTCTTCCATTACTCCGTGGTCCAGTTCTGATGCTCATGTGCCCATTGTAGGCGGTTTCAGCGGTGCACAGGGGTCAGCATGGACACTCCCTTCTTTGATGCTATATTCTTTCAAATATCTCACACTATTTTACCAATGCTTACACTCATCAGCCTTTTTGGGCATCAATTAATGCCTAGAAGAACTGAAAGAATATTGTATTCCATGTAACTTGTACTGGGATTTTGTTGATGGCTTCCAGCTGTAATATTTTAAACTGGTAATATGGCTGAAGAAAAAAAAAAAAAAAAAAAAAAAAAGCAGCCCCTCTCTGTCAAAATTCGAAATGCTGATTTGAAATATGCTATCCTTCTGAATTTGATTGTCAGCTTTTTTTTTAGAAGCACAAGACAAAATTGCAACAAGGTTATTAACTGTTAAATCATTAAATTAAATGTTTAATTGTTTTATTAAAGTTTTGTTTAGACTGGTGAACTTTTATTAATCACATCATGATGTGCTGACAAAAGCCCAAAATGCTTATTTTTACTATTCAGACTAACATTCCAATTATATAAGTGAATTTAACTGAAATCTGTTTTGTCAAATAAAAATGTGGACTGGGATTTTAATAATAAAACCAAAACTTCATGCTATCTCAATTAGGCAAGAGAAATTTAAACTTCTTGACAAACTCCACCACCCCCACACTAATTGGAATGAAAATAGTCAAGTAGTAACAGTTAATAAATTCATTAAATCTAAAGCTATTTTCTCTGAAGAGGTCATTTGCGATGATACCGTTGGTGTTGTCAAAATGCATAGATAAATGTGTGTTGAGCTGAAATACTAAAGGTGCATGAATATGTCAAATGGGGGTCCACAGCAGTGTTTTCACAGGCACTGTTCCAGCAAGCAGCCCTGAATGTGGGATGCCCTATCCAACCCTAACTGGCAGCTGGCTGACAGCTGACTAGCAGCTGGCTGGGTGACACCTGCTCTTTTCAATCCACTCTAACATTACCACCCCTGTTTTTACAGTAGCACGTAAAGCACCACTCCACCCATTTATGCCACCGCACCACCACCCCATCCCTACCACATACAGACCTTTTGTCCTCTATTCCTATATGGTCTTTAACTCTTCTCATGTCTTATTTTGCTAATCTTTTTCTTTTGCTCTAGGAGCAGCCAAAGTCCACAGATGTACAGAAGCCAGAGTAGGCTGGTCACAGTGCCCTTGTCCTGAATTGAAACCCCATCTCCTGTTACACAGCTGTCTGCTGTCTGTCCTTCTCCAAGTGGCAGGTTACCAAATTAGTCCCTGTTCAGGTTTCTACTATCACTCCATGTACCAATCTTCCTCTGTCTCCTCATGCAGCATCCAACGCTTGTTTTATCTCATGCCTATATTAATAAAGCAGATGCCTTAATTTTGCATGGGAAAAGACTCCTCAGTTTAATTAGCATACAGACATGGACAAATTTGTTGGTACCCTTTCACAAAAAAGGAGCCCACAATTTTCTCTGAAATAATTTGAAACTAGGGTGGCATGGTAGTGCAGTGGTTAGCACTGTCACCTCACAGCAAATTCAGATTTTATTTTAGACATAGACTTTCTTTGTCTGGGCAGCACAGCCGAACTGTGGTTAGCGCTGCTGCCTCACAGCAAGAAGGTTCTGGGTTCGAGCCCAGGCTGACCCGGGGACTTTCTGTGCAGAGTTTGTATGTTCTCCCTGTGCATGCGTGGGTTCTCTCCGGGTACTCCGTCTTCCTCCCACAGTCCAAAGACAGGCAGCTTATGGTGACTGGCGACTCTAAATTGCCCGTGAGTGGTTATTTGTCTACATGTCAGTCCTGTGACAGACTGGCGACCAGTCAAGGGTGGACCCTAGTGTCAGCTGGGATAGGCTCCAGCACCCCGTGACACTTGTCAGGTGATGTAGATAATGGATGGATAATTTGAAATGGACATATGTAAGTGGAATCCATCGTTGTTTATTCCACTTTGCTTTTGATTCAACTAAATATTTTAAATGGACCTTTAACCTGATATTTTGTTACACAACCTTTAGAGGCAATCATTGAAAAACAAATGATTTCTGAAGCTTCCAGTGAGACTTATGCAGCTGCTACAGGTGGTTTGGATCATTCTTCTTTAGCAAACTGCTCCAGGTGTCCCAGACTGGAAGGGGGCCTTCTCAAAACCTGCATGTTTCAGTTCTTTCTATAGATTTTCAATAGGATTCAGAATAGGGCTTAGAGAAGAACACTTCAGAATAGTCCATTGTTCTTTAACTATTATTTGGTGGTCTAGCTGTGCACTGTGGTATATTATCCTGTTGGAGGACCCATGACCTACAACTGAGTCAGAGCTCAGTACGTTTCAATCCAGAATTTCTTGTCTTGATATTTCATTGTGCCTTGCACAGATTCAAGGCACCTCATGCCATATGCAGCGAACCAGCCTGTAAAAACATAACCAAGCTGCCTCCATTTTTCACAGGAGGTATGGTGTTGTTTTCTTTGAAAGTTTCATTTTTAGTTTGTGAACAAAGAGCTGTTGGGAAGTTGTGACTTATCAAAAGGCATCGGTTTTGTTTTATCTGTCCAAAGGGCGTTCTCCCAGGAGCATTGTGCCCAGCATGCATTTTAGCAAACCCCATTCTGGTTTTTTTTTATGTTTTTCTGTCACCCGTGGAGTTCCCCTGGGTCTTCTTCCACTGAGCCCACTGTTGTTCCAAAAGTGACGGTGTGATCAGACACTGATGTACCTTGCCTTGGAGTTCAACTTGTATCTCTGTTTTCTTTGGCTCTTTGTACACCATTCGCACAGTTCCTCTGTCCAATCTGGGGTCGATTTTCCTCTAGCAGGTGGGGAGGTTGGCTACAGTCCCATGCACCTTAAACTCCTTAACAATATTTGAAGCTGTATTCATAGGAAAATCCAGCTGCTTTATAGCCTTTACCCTTAACATGCTCTTCAGACAACTTTCTGTTTTACCTTCTCTTGTCACTTATCACTGTGATGCACCAGTGATCTGAAACAACAGACTATTTTTCTCCATTTAAATTGACTGAATTACTAATTACAAGACTGAAGACATCTGTGTACATCTGTGATACTAAGTAAAAAAAAACGTTCATATTCATAATATTTTTCAGGTGTCCCAACCAATCTGTCCAAGCCATTTTAGAATATCTTTGTAGAATAAATAATTTCTCTTTTCACACTTTCTTAGTTTTACTTTATGACACTCCAAAGGTGTGCAGGTGTACGAGACAACTGGTTCAGTTTTTTAGGAGGAATGAAGCATTTTTTCAATGAGCTGTAAGAGTACCAACAAATTGGTCTCTAAGACACAATAGGCTTTGCTTCAAGCTCTAGGAGGAAGTGTAGTACCACCTGCAAATGATCCACCAGATAGAGTGGCTGCATGCTGACATTTTACCCGGAGCAATTAAATAATGCCAGTCTAGAACAGTTATGCAACAGGCCAGTGATATGATGTATGTGCCTTCTGCTGATGACGACCACAGAACTCCTCACACTTCACTAGATACTGAAACCCCCTGAAACATTCACCAATCATACTTAGACTTGTCAACTGAGGACAGGTAGATCAAATGTAAAGTGTGAGAGATTTAAGATGGTTTTAAGTGTTAAAATACTTGTAATACAGATAGTGGAACGATTTGGTTACTGAGTGTAAATGCTCCCTTAATAAAGAGATTGTAAACCTCACTGGGATTCCTCTTGTTAGATTACTGTAAAAATAAAGTCAAATTAAATTAAACAATCCTTGAACAATTTTTCCCAGAGTGTTTTCAGGGGAAGTGAGCATTAGTTCATAACCTTAGGACACGTTCTTGAAACATATACAGCTTGGCCCTTGGTAAAGTATCAATGCCAACTGCCCTGACCTGTGTCGGAATAGCACAGTGTTAAGCTGCAGCTGTTTCCAGTGCTACACTCTGAATATTAGGTGAGAGCACAATATGTCACATTTATCAGGAATGGCACAAATGTACAATTTCATTAGCTCTACCACAAGTAGTTAGACTTACCAGCAGGTCCGTCAGAACCCTGTCAATAAAAAATGACTGGATAAGTAACATTATGTGCTTGGAAACCAAATTTGATGAAAAAAAATCTTGTCAAATAACACCTTAATAACAGGCTAAGCTTTTCTCCCACATTAAATTCAGTACCTGTCTGTGAAAAACTAGATGGAAGGAGCAGATCATGTACACAGTGTAAAATGTATGAAAATCTGATAGACAAAGATTTATTTTAAGGTGTCTGAGAGTGTGTGAGGACAATAAACACAAGTGCTGTATGGACTGCCTAAAGCCTCAAAACCCAGAATGACAGCTCAAAAAAAATTTTCAATGGTGAACATGCAGATGGGAAATTGGCTAAAAGGGCGTAGGCTATTTGTTGCAGTGCTTGTTAGAGTGTTCATGGTCTTACTCCATTGAAACCTAAGCCACTAGAGTCACGTGTACTTAGTGTGGTTAAGGAGAGGTTCTAATTATACCAGGCTTGCGGGTCAAACTGCATCCTGCCAACCCAGGACACAGATTCAATTTCATTGAGTCAGGTCTCTGTCCATGGCCTTCATTAGATATCCCCTAGCTTTGTTTAAAACTTCCATGAAAGGGAATCCTGTTTACTAGACCTTAAATATTATGAAATTCAGACAAGCAGTCGGGAAGACCTCCCTCCCCCAGGTGGCAGCCTTGTGCACACACACCTGGCATTTACTGTGTGGTGCACAGTCCTTCTCTCTGTGTGTGTATGTGTGTGTGGTCTGTGTTTTTGGGAATATCATGCAACTGCTGGTGTGTGTTCCTGTGAATATAGTCTGCTGATTTCATTTTAGTTCTGTCTGTAAATGCTGTTTGCAAACCTTTAAATATGTTTGATTAAAAAAAAAAACAGACTTTTATTGAAATTAGCTGTCTGGTGATCATTACACAAATCATTGCATTTAGTGCTGTACTTTTATTAAGGTTTTGCTTTCTACACAGACATTTAAACACCTTTACACAGAGATATGGAGAGGAAAGCCCTGAGAAATGAGGCCCATTGTTTTACATGTTAGCCTAACACAGATACAAATTAGCAGACTGTGTTTGTTATTTAATGGTTCCTTGCTGGATAAAGTCATTGTGACACTTTAATTTTGATAAGTCAAACTGGGGATCTTTTTGTTGCTAGTCCACCACTGTATTCAGCTGCTGTAGTGTTGTGCTGCAAAAGAAGCTAGACATGGAACAAATATTTTTTTCAGCAACTTCAAATTTTAGATTATCAGTGAGGGGTCAATGAAATAAATAATCACTGCTTATCGTGATGCAAAGCCTTTTTTAAAAATTTGCATCAGACTAAAAACACTAGTAAAAACTATTCTATAAGGAAAAGAGTGTGTTAAGTGGTATTTGTCCTCTACTTCATCCCTTCACCATAAAGTGAGTCATTCAGGTGCTCTTGCTAAGCAAATGGGCTTGGCCCTCTCAATAGGATTAACAGGATCATAACACATGAACACAGTTTGCTATATTTGGAAAATATTTATTTAAGCATTTTAAATATCTATGAGTACATCTTGGTGAATAAAGGGCCAGAATTCCAGAGGCTTTGAGATCAGTATGCAAGCCTTTATAGATCATTGCAAAAGTCATGGGAACTACAAATGGCATGCTGTACTGTGCAGAGTAATATACACATGCACCTAGCTCAGTGTCATGACCCCGGGGAACAGTGCACAGTGTACACTTTGTAGGTTTGTCCTCAGTTTGTGTTACACATGGTTGCTTTTCCATTTATTATCTGCCCATTTATTATCATACATTTATTGTCTGCTGTGACTGAGGGATTATGCTTTGAATGGATAATGGGATTAAAATCATAATCAGATTGTTTGTTGACACTTTCAGCTTCTCATGACCATTAAGGTGCAACTCCAGCAATTTCATTTTGCACTTCTAAAAAGCTGGGAGACCAGCAAAGAGTCCCATGCACTCCGAGGGCCCCATTTAGCTCGGCTTGAGTTAATGCACAGGCTGAGAGAAAGGGGTTGCCCCAAGGAGAGCCTGCTAGGTAATACACATGGATTATGCCAACACGGTAAATCTGCCAGGTGTTGCAGTCTTTGTATGTAACTGTTGTTTGGCTTTAAACAGGTGAGCCTTCAGAGCTAATGGTGTAGTTCTTTGAGAAGTTTGGAGATAAACCCTACTGCACCACCGACCTAAAAATATACCTGCACCTGCTCGCTCCTGAGCAGCATGTACAGGTAAGATGGAGTTTCAGCTGCTGCGTTGCTGAGCTGCCACTTGTACAGTGAAGTGGTCGGCTGTGAAACCCATTTCTCTTCTTTGCAGTTCATTAATCGTCTGAGTGAAGCGGTTCCACTAGGAGAGCAGGGTGAGGAGGGCTTTGCTTTTCCAGACCACACCAAAGCGCTGCAAAGGCATCTCTGTGTGTGTCAGCTGAGTTGAGGCCTCAGGCTGCATCACTCTCTCGACGTGGATGGAAAACTGCTGCTCATTACGGAGCTCAAGGCTCACTATCATCATGGGCACAAGTTTGGTAAGAACATTACTTCTGGCATTAACATTTGTCCTGGTTAATCAGATCGTACATGGAGTAAAGAGGCAGAAATCTTGTAACATCACCCAAACTGGATGAAATGTGAGCATGATGTGACCAAGTGTAGCCAGAAGCATGGAAACATCTGTTCATCACCACATCTTCTCTGATCACAGCAGTCATTCATGACTGTGGCAGTTAAAAGTCCCTTTTAAGTCCCTTTTGCACATTTTTGGCAAATTGTGCTGAATAAAAAAAGGCAGTGGCATTTTTAAGTCTCCACACTGGCGATAGCCAGAGGCCTTGTGTTTTCAGGTTGTCCGGCTGGCCCCTTCATGTGAACAGTTTGAGGGACTTTCTTCAAAATTTGAAACAAGGGTCCAGTTGAACTCAACGATGCACTGACTAGTTTGGTTGTCAGGGTCACCTCACATCCTTCCCATTCCCATGGATTTGGCTGGTTGGCAGGCCATCAGAATCCTTTAAGACCGAGGCCACCTGGCATTACCTTAATATGAATGTTCACCAAAAACTATGTTGTCCGTTCAAATGCCCACAATTCTTTCTAGCAGAATGCAACTACTTGATTTTAATCGAGCAGAGAGTTCTGTTCTGGGATGTCATGAGCAGCTTGAGAGGTGTTTCACTCAACAACATTGGACCTAATTGTAAATAACAGTTGTGCAGCCTTGTCAAAGCGCAGTGTGCAGGGACAGTAGTGTGTTAGTAGATACCATGGGATTTGTCATGTGTTATGTTTCAGAAGCCCAAAACCAAAATACAGCAGCTTCTCAGTCTGTGAAACATCAGCATCTTCTATTAGAAATAATGACACAACCCAGAGAAAAAAAGTGGACAGTGGTATAGTGTACAGATATCAGCAAGGAGCACTGTTAGATGGCGACTTGGCGCTGTGTGTAGTGTGCAGTTAGATGCAGTTTTTACTTTGGCAGAGCAATGTGAAAATGTGAGTAAATGGTGACTACTCCCCTTCCTGTCAGTCATGGGTATGCATAGAACCACAGACATAATATTTGCCTTGTTTTGAAGAGTCCAGCTCATTTGCTTGAGATGTTTGTAACCACACTATATGTTGCTGAGGTTCAGAACAATGGCTGACAATCTGCAGCGTCATCTCGCCGCTCGCTTTTAGTAGAGAATGGAAAACAAACACTGGAATGTTTTAGCTTTTTTAAATAATAAGGTAAATGTGAGATGTTTGGCTTGAAATGTATTTTTCTTTAATTACAGAGTTTCAGCATTGCATTGACATATATCACATCCACCACTGGTTTGTGAATCATTCACTTCACTACAGTATATTGCCCCACAGCAGCTCTGTCTTCACACACAGATGCTGCCCCCTATTGCTTGGGGAAATTTGAAATGTGGATGGTGTGTGTGCATATTAGTGGCCAGGGTCTCTGATGTATTTTCCTTCAAGTCTGTACTAGTCTGCAGTCATCTGTATTTCTTATTTTTCCAGTAAAATGACATTTTATGTGTAGCTTTTACTGCAAGAACAGGCACAAAGTAATATGATCCCATATACCCACATACAGAGCAAGACATAAATACATTCTGTTATGACATATACTCAAATGGAAGGTGCCATCATAATCAAGTGAACTCTATTTTGCTTTGGCAATATTGTTTCTGAGCTTTTGTGTCAGTAAAGCTCATTAATCATTGTTACAAGGTCCAAGGTAAGCTCAGGTGAGTTTCAGCGTTTGGTGGAGATTTTTGCGTCACCGTCTGCTGCAGGCATATTTTATATGTACAGAGGTTCCTCCATCTTTCCATGAGCAGCCACTGGCATTTTTCAGTTGTGTAGCAGTTTTGAAACACCAACTTTTAGAAGAAGACTTAATTTTTTGACATCTTATGACACACTTTAAAACAGGCATTTGTTGTTTCAGATCACACTAAATATGAACATATGAGCCAACTGTCAGTTTGTTATGCTGTAGTGCCTCCATTTAAATAAACTGACAGTTGGCTGATGTTCACATTTAGTGTGGGAATCAGACATGGTTTCATTAAATCAATCATCAGTGTAGAATTGAGCTTCCTGAAGATCAGGATTCAAAAACACCAGTGTTGCACAGTCTTGCCGGAACCTTCTCTGATCCAGTGTTCTGGCTGCACAACGATGATGAATAATGTTGGTGGGAAAGTTTGTGCCTTATTGGCAAATATTTTCTCCCACATGTTACTAAACACTAGGCGTGAACAGCCCTCAAGATGAGTAACACATCCAAACTGGTTCAGGATCAGTTTGTTATGCAGTAGTGCCTCCATTTATACAGAGGTAGTGAAGCCACAGAAACACACTTTATCACAGGCAGCTGGAATCAGTAAATAGACACCTAATAAATGGGTTCTAACACACTGTGATGTAGTTGTGAGCTGCTACAAATGTTTATTAATGTATTTCTCAACAACTATAACTCTGCCTGCGGATACCCACCCAGTGTAGGCTGCTGTATACGCAGATCAGTGACATTACAATAAAACACAGCTGTTATGTCTCCACTGGAGAAGTTATAGTGGTTAACAAATACTCTTAATAAATATGCAATCAAAATATTTGTACATCTGACAATATTAGATTAGAGTTATTAAATGTTTTTATATAAACGCTGACTAGGGGACTTAAGGTATAGTGGTACCCCTCATGTCCTCTGAGCTTTGGTTGCTGGTGTCAGTGATGCACTATTTTAAAGGAACAGTTCACTGATTTTACACATGAAGGCCAGTTTAGTCATCATGGAGAGTAGCCTACTCCTCAGTCTGTGAGAACGGTTGTCTACTGCTGTCTACTGTCCTCTGAGGCTCACGGCCTTAGGAATGTTTGTTCCAAAGCATTAGTCTTCAGGTACAGCAGCTGCCACAACAAAGGTGCTTATGATACAAATACAGAAACGATCAGTTCAGGAAAGGTCAGTCTGTCAGACTTGAAATTTGCCTGCAATATGTATGCAGTGTGAAGTTGGATTTACTGTTGACTGCGCAGTTAGACTTACTGCTTGAATCCAGAAGATGGAGATATTGGACATTTGTGATTGGGTGAGAATGTTAACCCTAACCCTTCACTGTCATCTTTGCTGAATTGCTTTGTTACAGTACTTATATAGACATCCCATTTTCAACATAGCGATTAAATCAATGCACATCACATTCACAGACACATGTAAGTCACTAACAAGATATCTCTTTTGGAATGCTTTGGCTAAGGGCTTTTCACAGTCAGCCAAGCCAGTAACAGCATCTTCATGCAGGTAATAATACATCAGTGCTTAAAGAAAATATTACTCATTGAATTCCGGGTGGGACTTTCCACATGTACAGCTCATAAAACATAGATGTATTAAACCTTCGTGCCAAAGGAAAAATGTAAAAAGAAACACACAAAGTCATCCTGTACTAAATGATCTAGTTTTAGTTAAAAACATATTCAGTAGAATTGGCCTGTAGTGGAAAACACTATAGTCAAGAGTTTCTCCAGGCAGGAATGGAATTAATGGCACACTGATGTTATGAAATTATTAGCAGTCATCTTGACATATAAACACAGAGATACCCTGCTGAGCTCGTGTTTTTATTCATACTCTACTGTAAGGCCAATCTTCTCAAGGCTCGCTGTCCATAAGTAACATGTTAGTATGCTATGTTTCACCTTTATTATTAGATCTTCACATTTTACAGAGAAGACATAAAGCTTGCATGTGGATTCATTTTAGAGTATCATAAGTTTAAATCCTAGTTGACATACAGGTACAGTATCTCAGCAATGTGAAGCCCATGCAGGGCCAAAGGGCATGAGACAGGCAGCTATTGCAGCCCCTATATGACTGATAAAGCTGTGAGATAGAGACGCACTTGTTTCAACACCGACCAGTTTGAGAGTGCACAAAACTGATTTCCAACGCTACCGAATTTGCAGGTCAGAGTAAGAGATCGCGCACACCTGTAGATCATTCTACTGGCCTGTACTGGAAAACGCTATTAATCTGCTGTGACTTTAAGAGGCCCGGAGCACCGCGTATTGCCTGGTTTGCATTGCAACAGCAGGGGTGTGGCACAGTTTACACACATTACAAAAGTCTCTGGACTTCCTGAATGTGTTAGTGTGAGATATTACACTGTATCTTCGCGCACGATGTCTGCCGCTGAATGGAAGACGAAATGTGAGGTTGAGTGGAGTCTGCAGCGCGCACCGATGCCCGACAGCCTGGACTGGAAGTCTATCTATCAGGCAAAGCCGCTGTGGAGGAACTTAGTGAAGAACCCTGCGCCTCTAGGTACCGTAGCTCTGTCACAATCAGAAGTCATGCGTTGTTTTTCATGGCAGTGGGAGGGTCACACTTTAATAACACTGATCTACAGATCTCATAGAGGCTAGATGTTAGTGCACATCAGCTTACAATAAGTTTGGTATGGGTGTTTCAGACTCATAGTTTCCAAAGTCCATGGTAGAACAGGTACTCAGATCCTTTATTGAAGTAAAACTAGCGGTACCACACTGTGAGAATACTCCACTGCAAGTAAAAATCTTGGATTGAAAATTCTTACTTAAGTAAAAGCTTCAAAGTATTCGGCCTATGAGGAATTTTTAAAGTAGACTGTTAAAAGTAAAAGTACTCATTCTGCAGAACAGTAGTCCCTGTCGTTGTTTTAGTGTTATACAGTATATTACAGTTGAGTTTATTTAGGTCTGTAAAACAAAACAATCAAATAAAGCATATCATGGCTTTGATTCTTATTGTTGGTGCATTAATGTGTATATTGAACTTTACAGCTGTAGTTATTTGAGGTTGCACCAATTTTAAGTACTTTAATTATTGTAGGTAGTAAAATCTGCTGGAATGCATGAAGAATTGTAATTTGCAAAGTATTAAAGGTAAATGCAGTGGAGTAAAAAGTACATTTCCTCTTAAAGGAAGTTTGGTATAAAGCAGCAGAAAATGGAAATACACATGAAGTACAAGTACCTCACATTTGCAGTTAGTTACAGTACTTGAGTAAATGGACCTTATTGTATTCCACCTTTGTCCATCGCTTCCTAAGTTTCAGGTTCAGTTTTGATTCAATAGTAAGCACAAATTACTTTAGTCCTGAACTGATCTTGAACCAGTTTGGATGTGTTACTCATCTTGAGGGCTGTTCACGCCTAGTGTTTAGTAACATGTGGGAGAAAATATTTGCCAATAAGGCACAAACTTTCCCACCAACATTATTCATCATCGTTGTGCAGCCAGAACACTGGATCAGAGAAGGTTCATGCAAGACTGTGCAACACTGGTGTTTTTGACACCTGATCTTCAGGAAGCTCATTTCTACACTGATGGTTTAATGAAACTGTATCTGATTCCAAAATCAGCAGCCAACTGTCAGTTTGTTATGCAGTAGTGTTATACAGAGGTAGTGAAAGCCACAGAAACAAATACACTAACATAGATATACCTAAACACAATAACCAAGCCTTTTTATACATCACTTTTTATAAACGTACTTAATCAGATGGGTTACAATAAAAATGTTAATTGACTTTAAAGATCTGATCATCTAAATCACAAGAAACCATTTTTTCTGCTGACCTCTGGTGCATAGCCATATATTTAATTTAGGTTTTTCTGAGGTGT